TATTTGAGACTTAAATAGAAAGACTTATATTATTTGGTAACGATACGTATACTTGGGTAGAATCCCAACATTAAGTGTTTAACGTTATTATTCATAAAATACCACATCAACTTTTTGACACCGTTGTAAAGTAGAGTCAACTTTATAAATTTTACACAATTATATTTTCTCGGGATCACCTACGGTCATATTTCTTTCGTCTTATTCCTATAAGCAGCCAAAACCACTATTTTGAAAATCGGATCGGACTCAACGGTAAGGCTGGTGAACCGATCGGTTCAAAACTCTCGTCTCCAATCCAGATCAAGAATCCCTCACAGTCATTCTTCCCATGGTGACCAAAGTCTTAACAATATAGTCACAATTCAAGGCATTGAGGAGAGCAGCAGAGAGATCATGGTATGCAAAATCTCTGAAACTCCCAACTTCTTTTCTCTCGTTCGCACAAGAAGCCGTAACCCTCCCTCCCGTTCTTTTTATCTAGTTTGTTTGCTTCACTACAGTAGCCACATGAAGGGCTAAAAGACGCCATGTTCCCCTCTAAGGCCAAAGACACACCCTACCTCCTCTATCCCTCTCAATTGCTGGAAACCTTCGACTCCCTCTTCTGCCCTAAAGCCTGAGCCGCTCCTCCCCATGTGCATAATTTCTGACGCTCTACTGTGATTCTGTTCACTTTCAACACGACAAAGCCATGATTCCCTTTGCATAGTTTCGACTCCTGTGCAAGCCAAAAATGATCGCCCTCTGTTGTTGCTTGTTAAATAGAGCTGCCCGGCCTCGAAGTGTATGTCAGTGGGCCTCTTTTTTTAATTTTTTTTTAAATTAAAAGGTGATTGATTAACTGTACGCAACGGCGTACGAATAAGCGCTCCATTCATCAAGGCTTTGCCTTGCCTGATCGAGACGCTGATCGATGCCCCGTGTTCTTTTCCCTTGGCTCGCTTGCATGAACTTAAAAGAGGGATAAATCTTGTTAGATCTAGCCCTAGCACGAGCCTAAAGTTGAGCTGAACCCAATTCTCCACTTACTATTCTATGTTTTATGTTGTGTATTGTATTTAAAAAAAGATAAAGAAAAAGCAAAAAATCTGTGATGCATTTTCATTTTACTAGTCGGGGCATGGAAAGGTATAAAGGTGGGGGTATTTGAGCAGCTTTTTTTAAAACCTCAATTCGAGGAGAGCAAAATACCTGCAAGGAATATTGTGAACTCATTCAGAGAATTCTTTTAAAATCAGAGTTTAATGCTTTCATGCAAATACAATAATGGGGACAATTGGGAAATTTTTTAAAACCTCCATCCGAGGATAGGACAGTACCCGTTAGACTGGATATTTGCAAAATCGTTTGGAGAATTATTTTTAAAATCATAAAACTCTCTAGTTGTGATTTAAAATTTTCTGCAGGTACATTGAGGCCTGTTGCATTTTTTGAGAACGCAGTTTAAATGCTTTTTTTTGCTTCCCCATTGCACCTTTTGAGACCGCGGATTGAAAAATAATTTTTCTCCCTGACCAAAGTGTATTACGACACTAACCAGTGATTCGTTTAAGATAGTTGGAAAGATTGACAATTTCCCGTGCCCCTTAAAAGGGGTTGACGTCGGAAGGATGCCAAAATTCTGGATTATTTTAACTTGTAATTAATTTAAGCTTTAAAATCTTCAAGTTTATAAATAACATAAAATTTAACTCATTTAATTTTTAAAATGATTGGAAAATTTGTGCTTTTAAAATTTTGGCTTTTAGTGTTTTAAAATATCAAGGACATGAGTTTTTAAATATTTAGGTTGTTAAGTTTTTTAAAAAAATTAAGTATGACATTTAAAACATAAGTTTTCAGGGCTTAAAATTATTAAAAATTAAACTATAAAATTTAAACTCAGAAGACTTGAAAATATTTTAAAATTGAGCTAATCATACTTAGGCACCCAGAGCTTAGAAATCAATTCAAAATTGATTTTTTTTTTAAATTATTCTCATAGTGGAGAAGAATAATTCAAATCTAGAGTTTTCTAAAAATTTGAAATTAATATGTCAAATCAAAATGAGATTCGCAATGTTTACTGCTAGCGAACATAAGATGATTCTTTTTTAAAGCCTAAAATCATAATGCTCTTGCAAATACTTAAGCTCTGAATGATTTCACAATCTGTATAAAGTTCATGTTCATTTTCCAAGTTAAATAAGAAATCTTGAAATGTGAGCCCACTCATAAGACTTAGATGAATACCACTTGAGCTACTCTAGAGCTATGCACTCATTAGGGTGTTTATATAAGCAAGTTAATTACACAGTTTCAAAATCTTCTATATGCCTCCTAATGCAAAGTTCGCATTAAATTTGTGGCTTAAAAGTTATGCAAGCTTTTTTAAAACTCTTTAAGATATTCTAATATATGAAATTAAATGTCAGCATGTGCTCTAATCGATATGTTGAAAGCTCAAATACTGGGCTCTAGAATGATGCGCGGGTTAATCCAATCTTCTTGCCTATAGAATAGGGTTTTAAGTTCCACTCAACTAGTTTGATCCTTCTCATCGTAAAGGATTGAGTTAATGTCTAGTAATTTTGAAGTAAATGACCAAATCCTGAAATACAAATTTACAAGTACAAATCGTGAAACTAGTCTGAACCTATTCCTTTAAAGAATAGAAATCGACAGAACTTATATCTTAAAAAATCTAAACTAACAAAATTAAATCTCTCACTTTAAATATAAATATTTTAAATGCCTAATATTTCGATGTTGATCGTATTGATCTAAGATTTCATCCGAAGGGATCAATCTTTTACATCAATATTTTTAAAGTAGTTTACTAAAATATTTAAGTTAAAATAAATCACTAAAATTTAAAAACAAATTTTAAAATAAATCCACCCTCCATAATAGTTTGTCTAGAGACACAAGCTTCTAATTGGTTCGACTCAAAAAGAGCGAATCCATATCAAATGTATTAATATATTCATAATCAAAGTAATTTCATTCCAGTAAAGACATGGTCTGGGTCCTCTATTTGAGTGGTTTTGCTATCAATTAACACCACAAAATAACAGTTATGACAAGAGCCCTCTGACCGAGTGATTGCCACCAAATGATGTCATTATATTACAATCACGTACGCAGCCCGTATGTTTCTCAATGACTTTCTACCTTCTAAGTTGTGAATCACAAGGGTACAATTGATTTGCACAAAGCTTTCTATTAGCTAAGGTCGACTTAAATTTGTTCCCTTAGACAAACTTCCACCACATATCTATAAAGATCTCTTAGTTGACGCAACCCATGGCCGGTGACAAGAACCCTTCTGTTGTGTTGGGTCGACTACCTCCTCTTACTAAGTAGATTAGGAACCATGACGACTCGGGATGATAGAACCATGGAAACTTGATCGGGTTCCATCTTTATTTCCCCACCATCCACTTTAAGCATTAAGTGATGAATTCTAAAACTTAAATCCTAAGTCTGCTGCTATTATATGTAAGATTTTCAATTTTTAATGACTAGCCTTAATCAAAAGTGCTCTCATATTATAGAAAGGGGTAATTAGCCATAGGGGCTTGCACCTATGAGAAATCTCGAACCCAGATCAAAAAGTACTCCCAAAAATAGAGTGAAATTTCTGGGTAGTGTCTTATCTACAATCTAATATGCCTTCTGAATATTCAACCCTCTAATGCTCTCTCTCTTTCTCAAAACAAAATATAATTAACTGCTGAGAATTATCAGGGTCTGGTCCTGAATTTTCAATGTCCACAGAGACTTGTCTCAACACGAGGGAAACAAAAAAAAACGATTAGGGAAAAGCATGAAAATAATTCGTATCAGGGCTCGACGTGGGTACTTTCCAGTTGAGAAGAAATACATTGGAGACGCAACCAAGGAGGATAGAAAATGGTATTTCGAGGAAAAATATGATTATACAGTGGGCAAAGAGTCTCCAAGTGCCACACAACAGATTCAATGATGGGATTAAGTGCAGATAACTATATCGCGGAATCTCATGTCAATGAAACAGATGGAAGCCAATAACAACCTTGAGATAATTAAGTTTATAATTTAGGTTCTTATAACACTTGATATTTATTTATTAAAATATATTCTAAAAATTATTATGATGTGATTCTTATATTTCATTTTTAATTTTTTTGAAAATTATTCATTATTAAATTTTAAAATAACATTTTGAATTAATTATGATGTCAGCTATTTAAATAATGAAGTATTAATTTTAAATTAATTTTTTTAAATTACATCATTTATGTCACATTTAAATAAATTTATAATTATGCAATTTGATTAGTGGTGAGACCTGCAATGATGGTGCAGAATGTTGGTCATTAAAAGAGAAGCATAAAATAAAGTTAAATGCACTTGAGAGAAGAATGCTTATGTGAACGAGTGGCGTCACACTTATAGATTAAATGTGAAACGAATATATCCATAAAAGTGTTGGTGTAGCTCCAGTTGCAGACAATGTTAGAGAGTCATCTTAGATGATTTGGTAACATTAAACGCCGTCCATCTAATGATCAGATTAGAAAAGTAGATGTTTTATTTTCAATTTATATTAAGAAAGATAGAGATAGACCTTAAAAGACTTTGGGCAAATCATATAAAAAAATAATCCTAATCTATTAGAATTAAATCACAATATGATACTCAATAGACACAAAAGAGAAAAAAAAGATTCATGCAGCAGATCCCATTTAGTGGAACTCACCATTCAACTTTTAAATCTTAAAGCACCTTTTATTCATTTTAATCTTAAATGTCTTCCTTCAAAATTTTAATGTCCGAAGTAATTTGTAAAAATTTATTTAGAACTACTTCGTACAAACATTAGGCCCGCCCGCTTCTAGGTATCTAATCCGAAGTGCGTTTGACTATGACTGCATGGTCAAAGGAACTAAAGAAAATATAGTGACAGTTTTGTAATTATAAAACATAGTAGGGGCAGTTGTTGTGCGGTTCATCTTTCCAATGCTCTGTAATGCTGATGCTCATTCTCCACCATTTATTTTTGATACGGAGTGGAAGCTAGCTGTGGCATAAAGTAGCGTTGCCCTTGAATTGCTGGCTTTGTTCTATATTGATTATCGCAAGTCACGGAGCATTATTTACCCATCAGGTATCTTTTTACCGCGCGGTTTTCAATAGATCTATATCATGCGGATCCAAGGCTTTTTTTTTTTAATTGCTTTTCTTTTTCCTGATTGTTTCCATTTATTGAAGTAGGAATCCTTGCAATTCTTCCTTTGGTTTGCTGCATCATCGTTGAATATTTTGTTTGGTAACTCGTTTAGGACTTGGGGGTAATTTTTTTCCTGCATTTCTTCATATTCATCTTTCTTTTTGGTTAAGGAAGTGAAATTGGTCTCTGAACTTCACTTTCCAAAGGCCGGAGCTCTAAATCCTAGGATTGGGTGAGAAAGATGGAACTTTGGGTCCAAATCGAGTTCCTTTGTTGAGCTTGTGATTGATTGAGAATTGTGGTTTAATGTTTCTGGTATCTATTGGTTTGGGATTAGGTTGGGTTCTGAAACATTTGGAAGCAAGGGGCAATTTTCAAGGGTTGATTGTATGCTGGAATTTTATTGAGCTGCAAGTGATTCCCTAATGAAGATCTTTTTTTATGATGAGCAAATTTCTTTTCATCTTAAGCTTTTGGTTTCTCATAAGCTGCGGTGACATTAGAAGAGGGCAAAATTAAGACGTGAGATTTTTTAGTTCTTAGGCAAATTCGAATGAAAAATTATTCAGTGGGTGTTAAAAATTTAAGAATTTATATATTTCCAAAGATATAGATACAAAAAGAGGTATGAAAAAAATTAGTGAGGAAATAGAAGGAAACTACTCGCACTGCGTTTTTCCTTAATCTCTCTAGTTACTCAAACGTAAGGGGTTTGTGTGATGTACTCATTTTTTTTCCAGATATCATCCCCTTTCCATTTTTCTCGGATTTGGCTGTTCAGCAACACATGTGCTTTGTTTAGCTTGATTTTTAACAGGACAGGGCTGGAGTCCAATCTCTTTATTAGGTAAAAAAATTTTCTGAAAATGTCGACTTCAATTTCACTGAAGCAATCTGTGATATTGTTGGAATCAGTACATCTGAGAAATTTTCTCTGAGTGTTTGACCAGCTAATAAATTCAAGTGTGTGTGTGTGTATGTGTGTGCCTGTGTGTGAAAAGATAA